CAGTCAGAGAAGACTAGGTTGCTATGTTTCAAGTTCCAGAGAGAACTTATTGTCTCCGCTTCCTCTCTGGGTTTGCCCACAGCAGATTACCATGTTGTGGACCTCTTTCTCCAGCTTTCCGTCTCCTTGATGTCATCCCCTTACCTACATTGCTCATGGAGCTTTCTTCCTTCTCCCACGCTGAGGAGTTGGGTAGTCAGAAGTTCCCACATTCCAAGCCTGTTCAACTCAGAAAGGGTGTTTTTGTCATTCTCTGTATATCTTCTTATATGTTTACTAGTTCACTTTAGGTTCTGAGCTTTAATATGTAAAGTCTGTCATATTCCCAGCTCAATTAGATTTATTTATACATTTTGGCTCTCATTTCATTTAGCAACAAAAACATTTATTGAGCACCTATTTTGAGCCAGTTGCCATAAAATCCAGAGACGATTGTGATACAATTCCTACCTTCACAGTCTAGGAAGACAGACCAGTGAATAAGTAACAAGTATTCACCCTACAGTGTGAAAACAGACATATAAACAAAGGGCTGTAGTAGCTCAAAGGAGGGAAGGACTAACTATCTGCGCGGTGACCACCGTCCCAGTTTGCTTGGCACTGACGGACATAGGACCTTCAGTAGTAAAACCCAGGACAGTCCCCAGAAAATCGAGGTGGTTATTCACCATATCCATCTGGGAGCAATGGAGAAGACTTTAAAAAGGAGGTGCCATTTGAAATAGAAATTATAAGGCAAGTCGAAGTTTACTAGGCAGTTAAGGGAGCAGCGTTTCAGGCAGATATAAAAGAGCATTTCTTACTATGGGAATGATGAACTAATTGGTATGAATAGTATGTGAGCTTTGGCCAATGTGTGTACGTATGTGGAGTTGGGGGAAGCAGGGCTCTAGGGTGAGAAGAGAACAGATGAGGACTAGAAAGGGAGGCGGGACCAAATCATGGAGGACCTTCTATGCCATGCAAAGGAATCTTTACTACGTACTGTGTTTTCGAACAACTTGAGTGATCCCTTGGTTCAAATTAAACCTTGCTTGGAAGCATGCATAAATAAAGAAAAAAGGAGTATTTCTCTGACTGAAACACATATGGGTGGGTGCAGGGTCCTAGAATCCCTACATCCATCTCCCTCTCCCACCGCTTTTCCCACTTAGCTGCTCTTGAGGGGAATTTTGGAGAGTCCAGTTTGAAAACCACATCTGTGGACCATAGGGAGCCACTAGAAATTGGGTTAGAGCAGAAAAATGGATGCCATGATGAGATTAAAGATGAGATAGATTGTTAAGGAAGATGGACTGAAGAATAAAAAGGCTTGAGTAAGAAAAAACCTATTGGGAGGCTATCGTAACAGTCTGAGGGAAGCCCAACCTTTAGCAGAGACGGTGGGAATAGAGGAAAGTGCATGGGTATGAATGACATTTCTAAAGGTTGCATGAACAGAAGCTACTAGACTGATTAGAGTGAAGGTTGGGGGAGGGGAAGGTTTCCAGTTGAGGAAGGAGAAGTCAGGTATGGATCTGGGTTTCTTACTCAAGGAGCAGCCAACTGTAAAGGAAATCTCTAGTCTAATTTCTTTTTTTATTGAGGTATAGTTGATGTACGATATTATGTAAGTTTCAGTTGTACAACATAGTGATTCACAGTTTTTAACGTTTATACTCCATTTATAGTTATTATAAAGGGTTGGCTATAGTCCCTGTGCTGTACAATATAGCCTTGCTGCTTATTTACTTTATACATAGTAGTTTGTACCTCTTAACTCCCTACCGCCATCTTGCCCCTGCCCCCTTCCCTTTCCCTACACCCTTAGAATGCCCCTCCCCACTTCCCTCTCCCCCTACTGGTGCACTAGTATGTTCTCTGTGTCTGTGAGTCTGTTTCTGTTTTGTTATATACATTCATTTGTTTTATTGTTGAGGTTCCACATGTAAGTGATATCGTATGGTATCTGTCTTTTTCTGATTTGCTGGGTATTATGCTAAGTGAAATAAGTCTAGTCTAATTTCTCAGCCAGCCCATTTTCTTTGAGTTTTCACTAACTCAGATAAAACCAGAATGTGATAAACTCGTGCCTAGACTGATTTTCCTTGATCTTTCTTCAGCCAAGACTTGACTTTGCTAGGAAAACGCTTTTTGCTATGATTGTTGTGTTGCCTACAACTGTTTTTGTCTCTCATTAGCAGGGCAGTCGGTAGCAATTTTCTTTTTTGCAAAGATAGGACCCAGCTTACACACAAGTTCATTTTTAAGTTAACTATTTGGAACTCAGAGTGCATTTTCCCATAGAAACGGCATTATGCATAGTGAGTACGTTCCCAGGCCAGTCCACAAAGGCCAGTTTAGCCATAATATAACTAAAAGTGTGGATCTTTGCAACAGAAATTAGTTGGAAATAATACTGTTGCAATTAAAACGAAAACAATAGTTGGAAAAGAAATCGTCTGGGTTTTTGTTTCCCTTAAGGGGGTAGTACTTGATGAAAAGGAGGTTTAATCCTAGGAGGACAAAGAGAAATAGATGAAGATTGTTGTGTAAATTGGATGGCACAGCTTTTTAGATTTTATTTTTTAAAGAATTTTGGAGGGTTTTTAAGAATAATAAAAGCAGTCGCGTTGATTGTAGAAAATTTGGAAAATTGAAAAATATGTTTTAAAAAATTAAGTCACTAATAATCCTACCACCCAGAGAGAACCACTGTTAACATGTTGGGGTGTTTCCCGTCAACCTTTTTCTTAGTACGTGGATTGAAGAGAGGTGAGAAGGACTTGGGTAGAAATGTATACGTCCTTGTGAGGGGCGAGATTATATGGAGTAGAATGTATTGAGCTAAGAATGGTGAAAAGAAAAAGAGAAAATGAAACAGTATGGCATGCGCACAGACTTAGGGAGAGTGGAAAGGGAAAAAAGAGATGTGTTTGTTTAGGACTGGGTTTGGCTACAGGGCAGAAAAAAGCCAGCAAAGGATGCAGAGTTTGGCGGAATTGTGGCCAGCTGAAATAAGAGAGTTTTAGGAGGAGTCAGCAAATGTAATTTGCAGTAACCAATTTTCTTTTAATGCAGGAACAAAGATGGTTTGTGAGGACAGGTGCCTCCAGCATCAATCATTAAGCCCATTGCTTAATTGGGTGGAGTGAACCAGTTCTCAAAGTGTGGTCCTGAAACCAGCAGCTTCAGTATCACCTGGGAACTTGTTAGAATGCAAATTCTCAGGCCCCTCTGCAGATTTACTGAATCAGAAACCCTGGGGGGTGACCCAGGAAATCTGTGTTTTAACAGGCCCTCTAGGTGATTCTGGTGCCTGCTATAAGTTGACAGCCACTGGATTAAACGGTCCTTTCTAACCCTTTCTAAAGTACATCTCTGGAGGTTTCTGGAAAGGAGGAGAGATGTCCTCACCAGCTGATGAAAACTGGCTTGGGAAAGGAGTTTGATAGAAATATTTATTTATTTTTTATTTATTTATTTATTTTTATGGTTTTTT